TACCTACAAGGGCCCCTACTCTAGATCTAAAGACCTCTACATCTGCTAACAATAACTGCCCCTTCTCACTTCTCTTCATCTTGACCCAGGTTGGCCATCTTTCTTTGAGCTCTTCGGCCAGGCCTGTGAGGGAAGCACCTAGAGAGACTCGAATACAAGCAGTCTCTGGGCAGCCAAGTAGGTGCTGGCCCAACAACCTCTACCATGGACACACGTGGAGTGGGAGTTTCTACTTCGCACACGCGCTCATCTCCACGTGCCCCTAGGGTAGGGGCAGTTGCTACCTCTACCGGTCGTTGCCTTTTGCTGCCCCAGATGCAACGTGATTAAGCTTCTTATACTTCGAGCAAAATTTGATGATATGCCCGGGATCTCCACAAAACACACATTGGAACTTGTCCATTCATCTTGACCCAGGTTGGCCATCTTTCTTTGAGCTCTTCGGCCAGGCCTATGAGGGAAGCACCTAGAGAGACTCGAACACAAGCAGTCTCTGGGCAGCCAAGTAGGTGCTGGCCCAACAACCTCTACCATGGACACACGTGGAGTGGGATTTTCTACTTCGCACACGCACTCATCTCCACGTGCCCCTAGGGTAGGGGCAGTTGCTACCTCTACCGGCCGTTGCCTTTTGCTGCCCTAGATGCAACGTGATTAAGCTTCTTATACTTCGAGCAAAATTTAATGATACGCCCAGGATCTCCACAAAACACACATTGGAACTTGTCCATGCGATCCTATCAAACATTACGTTCTAAGCCTGAGGGTTCCCAAGATCTACCTTCAGGCCGACCTGGGTGCCATTCACCCCTTCTGGTAGGTGACCGACTCAAGCGAGGGCGGTTAGATGGGGGACTTTGACCCATACCTCACACTTGGCGATCTTTGTTGCCGCCAACCCCCTGGCTGCCTTGCCCTCGACCACCTGAGGCTTAGCCCCTCTGCCATGGCCTCGTCCTTCTCCTTGCGGCCTCCCTCCGACCGCAGCAGAAGTGTATGAACTCCCCCTCTCTGCACTACTGTCCTCTTCCTCAAGTCACCATTCTATGTCAGTATAGGGGACTTTTTCGGCACCACCTTCTTCCATTGTTAGTATGAGACTTTCTTTGGCCTTAACTTGGCCAAAGATGGTGCGACCCTTCCACTTTTTTCCTTTAGCTAAGTCATTATGCAAGAAAGTGGTAATTGGCATGGACTGGGCGGCGAAGGCAACAACGTCCCTACTGAGGAGGTCATAGGTCATCCCAGGTTGTTGCCTCTTGTTAAAGAAGTGCCCTTGCAATTGCTCGAGCAACGCACGATAGAAGAGTTGGACTAGCTGCGCTTTTGTAACTCCATGGCCAGTCACAACAATCAGTTCGTCCATAGCGGCTTCCAGTGCATGCACACTCTTCCAAGGTCGCATATGGATCATTTGGAGTTTGTCGGACGCCTTCAATCCTCTAGTGACATTCGCAAAACGTTCTCGCAGTTCGACACAACTAGTTGTATTGCCACTCAAGGCTTGAAACGCTATTCGGACATGGTCGTCGGAAGGCACGCTCTATAAATACAAATACGATTTAATATAAGCCTCCCAATTGTCAAAGTCCTCATCCCTTCTCCCACTATAGGACTCAAGGAAGCGGACTTTTGACGCTCTCGCGGCAGGGTTGTGATTCTTCCACCTTGGGGACTGCCCACTTGACGACCTCGATCGCACCGGTGCAAAACTTCTATGTTCTACCAATTGCGGTCTGCATTTCGTTTACGAGATAAATCATCATCTCCTGGGCAAAGTTGTGGAACCCAGCTCGTATAGATTCAAGTGCTATATCATGCCCACGAATATCAATCTTTTTCCCTATCTTTGTCTCTACGTTCATCTTACCCAGCCGTTCCTCTGCCACCTTCAATTCCTCCTCCATCTTATCTGCCATTTCCAATCACCTCGTCTTTTCCTTCACAAGGCGCAACTTCCACTCCAACTGCTTCTCCTGCTCTTTTGCCTAACGACGCAGGGGACTCTTTCCCCTCTCTCCCGCTCTCTTCTTACTGCTTCTCTTTACGCCTGGGGGACTATCAACTCTACTTCCCTATCTTCCACCAGAGATAATCTTGCCACCCAGTCCTTTACAACCTTTTCCACCTCTTCCGGTGGGGGTAGACCTGTACTCGATTCTCCTCTCTCCTCCTTCCTTTCTTTTGGGCCCTTCACTGCTTCCTTCTCTCTCCTCCTTCGCAACAGGGGGCCCTCTTCTTCGCTGTTTTTTTTCTCTTCTTCTTCTTCGGTCAATTCTTTGGCCAACTTTGCCTCCTGTTCCTTCTTCCACGCCTCCATCTCCTCCTCCATCTTTTTCTTTTTGGCCGCTTCTTCTTCCAACAAGGCCAGATTTTTGGCTTGTTTCTCCAAGGCTCTCTTCTCCTTCCTCTCCTCTGCTCTCGAAGAATTACGGCAGCCTTCTCCTCTTGTTCCTTACTATATGGCAGGGTCTGGATTGCAAACTTATTAGTCACAGTGCAACAAACAGCCCACCAGAATCCCAATGGGAGGAGGAAATGGAGCAAGGGCCCCCAAAGGGAGAGGCCCATTATGAAGGCGAACATGGGGTAGTCGTCCATGTTGGACGAGGGCACAATCACAAACAATTCCGCTCCTCAACACTTAGACCAGCTCACCTGGACACCTCTTAGAGGAATACAGAGGTTCTCACTTCCACCTTAGCCAGGCTACCGCTGTCGTCGGATGCTTTCGCAACCACAATCCAATCTTTCCACAACCATCAGATGCCTGTGCACCCACAGTTCAATCTTGCCTGGCTTTGGCTTCCAATTGTCCCTCTGTCAACTACTCGAGACTATACTGTTACTGGTCTGTCACTACAGAACTACTGGCTGATCAGGAGGCATTTAAGGAGATCCCCCATAACTCCTCAAGAATTATTTAACGTGGCAGTCAGGACGATGACCACAGCCAGAGTTCTCTCAAGACTTAGACAAACTGAACGTGCGATCTGCAGCTTGGAGTTCAGGTATAGTGTACCACCCACAGCAGCCTGCCAGTCTGTACAGATCCTTGGGGGCTTTTCCCTAGGTCGCCTCGCGTCAGATACACCTCACCCCAACTAAATCCCGAGCTGGCGTCGACCCCTCAACCTCTATCAGACCACAGGCATGGAACCTACAACAACCCGGACAGGTGTGACTCGGTGCAGAAAGAGATGACAGACTCTAGAAGACAACTTGACTGCAGCAAGTACCAAGATGAGTATGCAACATCCACAGAGCATAAAAGGACAAGGGTCAAGGCTTGAAGAGATTGCACCGCACTCCAAGATTGGTCAACGATCAGTCAACTGTTTCGGTCATCGCTCATCGGTCAACTCTTGCTGGTCAACTCTTTGACCATCCGACTATGGCGGCTTTCTCTCTCTTTGTCTCCTTCGTTACTTCACCCTCTTCTTCTTCGTCCTCGACCTCGGCTATGGCCGACTTCTTCTTCGTCTCTGTCAGCTATGGCTGCTATCACCTTCTTCTTCGTCACCTCTCTCTTCTCTCCCATCACTTTCTCTTTCGTCGTCGTTCTTCTTCTCCAAGCTGGCACCTATGGCTGCCGTCTGCTATGGCAGTCTTCTTCCCTCACACGTCTCTCTCCCATCATCATCATCATCTCCTTCTTCGCGTCAGTCGGCTCCTTCCTCCTCTTCTCCGCGATGCTTACGCAAACAACGGGAACCTGCTCCGATACCGCAATCAGACTCGTCTTCCCCTCACATTCAACATGCATACATGCAGCTGGCGATGGCGACAGAAACTCCCACAGGCGCAGAATCAGCAACAGACTTGAGATGGCGCAGTGCGCCCACACAAAAGACTAAGAGATATGGCCTTCGGCCAGGAACTCGGCTCAAAACAACTTCTCACATCTCATGGCTATGGCATCTGAGCGCCAGTCTGAAATTCCCACCCGAACACTATATCCACCGTCGTACACACTCACACGTACGCACACAACACTTGGATCTACCCTGAATGTCTGCACATACACACACTCTAACTACTAACTCGTCACACTGGTGGCTATGGCCGCCATCGTCTTCCTCTTCTCTAGCGCACTTGTCCTCTTCCACCTTCGGACTCTCTTGCTGACCACCAGTGAACTCAGCGCACAAGTCACTCGAGCAGCGTTTCCACGTAGTTCCCCAGATAAAGAGTGAATGACTGATCGCTGCCTCTTTATTTATACTGTTTCATTTGGTGGTCTGGGCCTGCCCGATGTCCGGGGCACTCGGGATGTGCAGTCCCACTCTGGTACTTGCTGCAAAACGGACTGGACTGGGACTGCCCGTTCACTCGCCCCTTCGGTGTTGACTTGGGACTCTTGACCTTTCAGAGATCGACATACTGCGCTTTCAACCTGCGAGAGGTCAACTTGACTATTCGAGCACTACTCTAGCCACGACCTACTGATCTTTCAGAGGATGTATAGTCAGTTGACCTTTCGAAAGGTCAACTGTAGATTTGCCATTTTAGGAAACTTACAGACGACCCTTAAGACTTCTAAACAAGTAATCTACGGATCAAATCCACACAACCCAAGCTGCACGCACAAAACATTTGTACACAGTTTTAGGGAAAGGTCGTGGGTTCAAAGCACACAGGGTCAATGGGCAATTATACAGTGGGTTAGGGAAGGTCTGGGGATCGAGTCCTGGTATCTGCAATGTTGCGCGAACTGGGTGAAACCCTTCCACCCCTCTTTCCAAAAAACATATCCAGGTTGATACCAGCCAGCACAGAAACAGAACACCCTTCTTCCTTTAAACACACACACACACACACACACACACACACACACACACACACAGTATCCTACAGCTTTTGTTATGCTGCACAACAACCATCCCTTCACACATCTCTCTCTCTCTCCCTCCCTCCGTGCTAGGACAGCCCAAATGACTGTCAGTGATACCAAAATGTGAGCAACAGCGGGAAAAAAAAACACTCAGTCAGTCTCTGACCTGGCCTCCACTTCTCCCTCGGCCAAACTGGCGGCCCTCGACGAAGCCCCAGTCAAAATCCACTCGGATCGGTCGATCATCCAAAATTGTGCCGCTTATGTATTTCACACAGTCTTCAGTATCCTCGCGAGTGTAATATCTGTGCAGCACAGCAGGGTAAAAGAAGGGCCAAGCAATTGAAAAAAAAAAAAAAGTGACAAGTTCCGGGAGGAGCAGCAGGAGCAGGGGAAGCAACACAGAAGAGAGACAAAAGAACTACGGCGTTTCAGGTTTTCTGTTTTTCTTTTCTTTTGACAACCATTAATTTTTGAAACAAGAGAAACAGTTGTCCTTCCTGACATCCATCAAAATTGGAGCGATACAGAAAAGCTTAGCATGGCCCCTGTGCAAGGATGAAAATGAAGGAAGCGTAAAAAATTAACGGAATCCTTTGTCTTTTGCAAAGATCCTGATTCACTTGCAAAGCAACATGCAATTGAGAGCAATCAGATAAAGCTCACACGAGTGCGAATTCGAAGTTCCACTAAGATACAATAAGATACAATTCGAAAAGTTTGGAATTCGATGGTACCAACTGCTGAAACAACCCGCGACTCAGATCCCGCCTTTCCCCTCTCTGATCCGCTGCTTTTCTCTCTGTTTCTATCTCTCCCTCTCCTCCCTCTCTCTCTCTTCTTCTTCCTTCTCTGCACTGTTCACCCTCGTTGCTCTCCCTTTCTGTTCTCTCCTCCGTCTACGTTTGAGATCTACCCTGAATACTACTACTGTAGCGTCTCTCTCAACATCAAATGGTAATGGTCGCCAAGTCGGCTTCTTCCCCCTCCTGGCCTTGGCCGTCTCCTTCAGCCAGTGCGCTGGGCGTCTTCTCCCCTCAGCGCACTTCTTCATCCAGGTCACTAGTTCGCACAGCTCCAACAGCGCTCCACAAATTTGCGAAACGAACAACTGCCCCCGTCTGGCAGTGTAGCCCAAAATATATTGTTTTCGTGCGCTGGGCTCCACAAATTTGTGAAACGAACAACTGGCCCCGTCTGGCAGTGTAGCCCAAAATATATTGTTTTCATGGGCTGGGCCTGCCTGCCGCAATCGGTACCAGCCTTATCTTGCCTCTTCCCTGCCAAGTTCTGTTTTGGGAAGGTTCTCACCTTTCTTGTGAGGCTGCTGCAAAGACTGGACCTTTGGGGACCGGTGTGATTCTACAGGTACTGTTCCTATAGACCTACGACACCTAGAACTACAGACCCTAAGATTGAACTACAAGTAAGGCCTGCGGGGAGGCAATAACTGGGGACTCTGTAACAGGGACTGGTAGGCTTGCAGCGTGAATCCATTCACTCCCGCCGGCCTAATTTCGAGGTCCTCCGAGAAAAGTAACTTCAACGGTCATCGATGTTCAATCCTCTGCGTGCCCTCTCGTAATATGAGACTATACGAGGGGTTGTCTGAACTAACTCATCCCTGCGGTCTTCGCTGGGATCCGGGTAAGCAAATGGAACCTTACATGGCCTCTGTCGCTTCCCTCTACAACCTGTACGGGAGGTATCCTCAGCTACAATTCTGTCTACGTCGTATCTTCCATCCATATCAGGTGGGATCATGGGTGTGCGTGAGGGAAATGCATCATTAGTCACACAGGGAAGTAGCTTAGAAGCGTGAAAAACAGGATAGGTGTGCAGATTGGGTGGAACCTCAATGGTGTATGACGGTCCATCTGCACCGCCCTTACCATCTAATACTTGCCACGGCCCTCTGTAGGCAGGCAGCACCTTCTGCAAGATCCCTTCCTCGTGAACAGACTCTTTAGACTTAACCCCGACACGATCTCCTACCGCAAACTGTGACATGCGGCGGTGTTTCTTCGCTTGTCCCACTATCTGGTGCTGGGCCTTCCAGATGTTCTCAGCAACGCGCCGCAGATCCCTCTCATACTGGACAGCAAACTCGCGTGTACCTGGTGGTAGTCTTTAGATCTGATGCGGACAAACAGTCTATGGGACGTCGGGGACTCCAGCCTCTATGAAGCTCGTTCGGGGCCCACGAGGTAGCTACGTGAACTGAGTTGTCATACACACTAGCTACTTTGGGAAGGTGTTTATCCCAATCCATCTGATCTGGTCTCATATACATATGCAAGACTTGCTGCAAGGTCTTGTTCATCTGCTCGGTCTGGCCATTTGTCTCAGGGTGGCACACAGACGACATCGTTAACTTAGATCCATAGACCTTCATTAACTGTTGCCATTGTTCCCCTGTAAACCGGGTATCTCGGTCACTAACTATACTCCAGGGGTGACCATAATCCTTGACCCAGTGGTTAAAAAACTCTTTGATGACCAGATCTGTCTTTGCTTCAGTAGGTAATGGTACAAAAATGACGAATTTACTAAACCTGTCAACTATAACCATAACGTGAGTCTTCCCACTACTACTCTTGATCTTAGTATCCATAAAATTGATAGATACAGATTCGTCGGGGCCAGATGGGATAGGCAAGGGTTTCAACAGTCTGAGGGGAGGCTGCGTGGAACTCTTGTTCCTTTGACATACTTGGCGGCCTTGGATGTAGGCAATACAATCATGCTTCATGCCAGGCCAAGTGTAGGATCTGAGCAGCGTCGTGTAGGTCTTTTGCCAGCCGAAATGACCTTCAGTATCATGACATTCCCCCAGGATCAGACTGCTTATCTCTTCACTATTCCGTATGCATAGCCTATCATGCACATCAGTCTTCTCAAATAGCAATCCATCGGCCATTCTATAATCAAGAACTTCCTGAGGTGTGGTCTGCACCTTCTTTATCAACACATTGTACATGGGATCATCACTGTAGGCAGCTCTAATCTTTCGCTGCAGGTCTGCACCAGCGTCCAGGTAAGTCACTATTGCACCAAAGAAATTTGCACGTCTGCTCAATGCATCAGCGACGACATTGAACTTACCCTTGGCTGGTTTCAATTCAAAATCGAACTGGTCAATCTCCCTAGCCCACCTGGTCAGTTTAGGAGTCATCCGGGCCTGGGTCTTCAACCAGCGTAGAGTCGCATGGTCTGAATATACCTTGAAGTGTAGCCCTAACAGGTAATGTCGCCAATGGTTTAAGCCCCGCTTGAGGACGAAGAGCTCACGGTCATAAGTCGAGGCTGCTACCTTCTCACTAGGGAGCCTGCAGGACGAACTCCACGGGCCTGTACCCATTTCCATCATTATGTTGGAGAACAGCGCCAATGCCATACTGGCTGGCATCGGTAGTAACGACAAACGGTAAAGATGGGTCAGCTACTTTAAGGACCGGGTACTCGATGAGGGACTTCTTCAACTTCTTGAAGGCTGATGTACAATTCTTGCCCCAATTCTATATAGTTTCCTTTCGCAGCAGCCTGCACAAAGGAGCAGCAATGGAAGTGAAATTACGAATGAACTTCCGGTAATAGTTGGCCAGTCCTAAGAATGACCACAACTCAGTCAACGTGTGCAGGGTTGGCCAATCACGAATTGCTGCTATCTTAGCGTCCTCTGGTCTCACTCCATCTCCATCTACTATGTGTCCCAAATACAAGTCTTGGCACTTGGCCCATTCACACTTCTTTGGATTAATCTTGATATTGGACTCTCGCAACTTAGTCAGTAGATGATTCTGATGCTCCTCCAAGCTCCTGCTAAAAACCAGAATATCATCAAAATAAACTACAACAAGCCTATCTAACCAATCTCTAAACAGATCATTCATGCATCTTTGGAATGTTGCAGGGGCATTAGTCAATCCAAACGGCATCACCACAAACTCATACCAACCGAGCGGGTCCTGAAGGCCATCTTATGCTGATCTTCCGGTTGTACCTCAATCTGATGGTACCCAGACTCCAGGTCAATCCTGGAGAAATACATACATCCCTACACCCTGTCTAAGAGATCCTTAATCTGGGGCAACGGTTCCAACATTCTTGACCGTGATAGCATTCAATCCCCGGTAATCAATGCACAAACATAATTCACCCTCTTTTTTTCGGCACAAACAGAACTGGTGCACCATACGGTGACTAATTGGGTTTTATCCACCCCTTCTCAATCAGCTCATCTAGCTGCCTGCACAATTCATCCAACTCCTTGGGAGACATTCTATAAATGACGCCCCTAGGAATCTTGCTCCTACTCTACCACTCTGGTTGGGGCTTCTCCCACATCAATAAACTCTTGCAACAGGTTTTCTACGTGGGGTGTATCTTGTCTTCACCCTTATTCTCTTTACTCACCGGTCTCACATAGGCCACAAAGACCTAATCTTCCAACTTCTCGCTTTTCATGTGTCGGGCGAACTCTTTTAACAAGTTTTCTACTTGGGGTGGTATCTTGTCTTCACCCTTATTCTCTTCACTCACCAGTCTCACACAGGTCACAAAGACCTGATCTTCCAACTTCGCGCTTTTCATGTGTCGGGCTGAAGCAAGGGCACTTATACAGTAAATGGACAGCTGGGACTCTAGACCAGACTCGTGGAACAGCCTCATCTTCTTCTTCCCCCCGGTGGGGCTGGGCACCCAGCACTCGTGCTCGCCCAAGTTGACATCTACCATGGCTGCTTCTCTCAGGTCTGCCCCTAAAATCAAATCAAAGGGGAGGTTGTCCTCCACTAAGTGGGTAAAGGAATGCAGAACCTTCTCTACCTTATTCCCTCCTCCAACCGGAAGTATGCCTTGAACCCCTCGAGATATTCTTCCACGCACACCTCATGATTGTCGACCAGTCTACTCACTACCGTCTCTCTTGACTTCTGCACCTTCATTTCTAGATGCAATTTTTCCAGTCCTTTCCTACTCATAAAACTACGCGTAGAGCCACTATCCACTAAGGCTCCTACTCGCATACGACTAATCTCTACATCTCCCAAACTTAGTTGCCCTCTTCTCTTCTTCATTTTGGCCTAGGCCGGGCGACAAGCGACCACTCATAACCAATGCCTGCGAGGGAACCGCCTAGAGAGACCCTAGCACAAACGGTCTCTGGACAGCCATCTAGGCGAGGCCCTTCATCACTCTCTGTCGTTTGGGACTCTAGATAGGAGGGTGCCTGTTCAGCACACGCTTCTAATTTGTCTACGCCTGAAGTCCCAGTAGGAGCAATTGCAACTCCTACCAATTGTTC